TTTTCACAGATGGGGTACAGGGCTAAGGCATTGAACTCAAGTTTTGTGATGGCATAAATTATGGAAGTGTGCAGGCATTCCTAGGCAATTGGCCTCTCCAGCAGTCTTCAGCCTCCCTGGCTTCTCACACTTGCATAAAATTCCAGGAGAAAACAATACAAGGAACTCCTGCCTAAGAGCAGTCCTGAAACAGAGGCAATGATGGAGGCTGATATTATGTAAAAGGAGGGGGGAACAGCAGTTCTCTCCACCATCCAACCATAAAGTCATCTCAGAAACACAATAAATTAAAACTATTAAAATTCTATGCCACCTTGAAAAGGAAGTAGAACAGAAACCTCTTTCTCAGCAGAAGAAACTAGACTTAGATGGAACATGTATTTCGGTTGTCGTCCCCTCTCCCTTCTATTTGCAAGGAGTTAATATAGATAACCTGACCAGATTGAAGTAGTTCTGTTCTCTCTACTATCTCATTCTACTTACATGCATATTTAGGACAGACACTGCAGATAAATGGGTAGAATAACAACACTGGGAAGTTTTAAGTAGCAGGCATATCCTTTGTGTGAAGCAGTCACCTCTCTCAGTTGACGGACACCCAATGCTTGAACTTGCTGTCAGAGCTTAGCAGAATGTGAAATAATTCTCGCTGACATTATGTTGTGGCTGATTTTGTGGCTGGTTTTATTTTTCAGATGTGGAGGCTTTTTTGTTCTTCTGTGCAGGTTTAAGATAATGAGCATCTCTGCTTCTGTTGTTTAACTGGGTGGCAATTTAGAAGAGGATTGAGTCTTTGCTTGGATTTCAGTTTGTACTAGAAAACAGGTAGCTGTGTGCAGTGATGTATTTTCTGAAAGGAAAAGCAAAAAAAAAAAAAGATAAATTCTCTTTTTTATCTAATCCTATACTCTCCAATTTAGCATTCAAGATTTTTTTTGAACAATCAGATTATTTATGTGTATTAACATTTCTATCTGTGTTATCCTGTTGAGTTCAAGTGTTCTCAACCTATTGTTGTTGCTTCTGTTGAAGTTAAGATCAGATAGCAAAAAGGAAACAAATGTCACTGGCTGCCTCAGGAAGGCTGGAGATTGATCTGGCATGGTGGTTGCAAGGTGACAAGGTTGGGGGAGAACATGAATTGCAGACTGCTGCTGTTGCTGCCATGTGTGTAGGCTAAAGCCAGATAAGAGACCTCCCATCAGCTGGAAAGGCCTGTGATTAAAGGCTGCATGTTGCAGCAGGCACACACTTGCCATGAGATTGTGGAAGGACTCCTTGAAGATATGGGACTAGTTTAGGTGGAAGAGGACAGTTGCTTGGGTGATGCAAGAATTGGAAGTGGAGACTTCCCCTGGAGTGAGAAAACAGGGGGTGGCCTTTTTCAACCTGATGGCTCTAGTGGTATAGGGCATGGGATGAGAGTGTCCTTGGTTGTGGAGTTGGGAAGATAGATAGATTATAGATGGTGTGGGGGAGGGGGCAGAGAGAGACAGCAAGAGTGCTTTGCCAGATTGTTGACTTTAAGTATGAATAGTGGGGAGTCTAAAGCTGGACTGTGGGGGATGTGGATGGTTGGATGGTGGGGCTCGGGGGTAGATGCTGGCAAGGCAGACATCAGGATTGTGATAGGGAGAGGAAGATATGATGGGAAGTGTGGCTTAGTTTTCCCTGGAGAAGTGGTGCTAATCCCTGCTTCTTGCCCACAGTCTTCTTCCCTGGGTCTGGGAGGCCATATTGCTGGCCACCTTGGTCTCCATCTGCTATTGATAATTGTCAGGTCTATGCATAATAAGACCGTGTTCATCTCCAGCATAGTAGTGGATGAACATGCTGATGGGGCATGTATTTCTGAATCCTGACTAGGCAAAGGAGGAGATGTGGCCTAGCTTGAGATTTGCCCTTCTTTGAGCCCAAAGCCCAATTTTGAGGTCAGGGAGTGGGTGGTAGTGATGATTCCCCCCCCCCCAACTTTTCATGTTTTATTAATGGAACAAAACAAACAAACAACAAACAGGAATAATACATCAATGATAGTGCAATAAAAAAAACTGTACCTTACAATGATTATAATAAATGAAACATAATGAAAGAACAAAATAAGATCTACATGATATCAATATAAAAACTAATTCAATTCTTAAACTTATTTTTAAATCTAGACCATATAGAAACATACTGTCACATATTCTCATTTTTAGAGTACAAAGGCATTTCAAAAATTTATAAAGAATGCATGTCTTGGATCCATTCCTAAAGATGAAAAGTATACATTTCTTTCTATCCATGTAAAATAATTATCTTTGCGAAGCCTGTGATGGAATGGACTTATGAAGGCCAGGCTCAGGGAAATAAGCGTGTTCTTAGCCCCCAACAGGAGCGTGG